CACACACACACACTCACACACACACACTCACACTCACACATACACACACTCACACACACTCACACACACTCACACACACACACTCTCACACATGCACAAGACAGAGGATGCAAAATAATCTCCCATTCTGAGGACATTTTTCTGAGTACTGCGGGTGCCAGAGCGCTGCGATTTTGGAGTCAAATGTGCGTGGGGATAAATCAGAGTGGTGACTTGAATTTGTCACCACATCTGGGACTTCCTGGTTATTTATTTATTTTCTTCTTCTTCTTTCCTAAAGGCCAACAAAGTACTTAAGAGGGGGAACGAGAAACAAAATTCTACATAAAACACAAAAGCTACAGGGGACTGTGGAAAGAGGAACAGTCAATCTTGCAGTTCTTGAAAACAGGGTTCAAACCCAAGCTCTTCCACTTTCTGCCCCCCCCCCCCCCCCCCCACACCCACCCACTTACCACACACACACACACACTCACACACAGAAACACACTCACACACAGATACACACTCACATTCACATACACACACACATTCACACACATACACACACACTTACACACATACACACACACACATACACACACACTTACACACAGAAACACACACAGAGGTACACACTCACATTCACACACACACACTTACCACACACACACACACACTCACACACAGAAACACACTCACACACACATACACACTCCCATTCACACACACATACACACACACGTACACACATACACACACACTTACACACAGAAACACACACAGAGGGACACACTCACATACACACACACACACTTACCACACACCCACACACACTCACACACAGAAACACACTCACACACACATACACACTCCCATTCACACACACATACACACACACGTACACACATACACACACACTTACACACAGAAACACACACAGAGGGACACACTCACATACACACACACACACTTACCACACACCCACACACACTCACACACAGAAACACACTCACACACACATACACACTCCCATTCACACACACATACACACACACGTACACACATACACACACACTTACACACAGAAACACACACAGAGGGACACACTCACATACACACACACACACTTACCACACACCCACACACACTCACACACAGAAACACACTCACACACAGATACACACTCACATTCACACACACATACACACACACTTACACACATACACACACACTTACACACAGAAACACACACAGAGATACACACTCACATTCACACACACACACACACACACACACACTCACACACACACACCCTTCTGCCTATGGATGCTGAAAACTCCAACACAGGCAAGCATGTCTGCTCACTCTTCCCCGTGTGTTCATCACGCACGACCCCCGTGCCAGGGCTTGCTGTGCCCCCTCTGTATTCGTTGCTGTTCTTGCTGCAGTGAGAAATGACCGACAAGAAGCAAGCTAGGGGAAGATAAGTCTATGGCTCACAGTTCAGGAAGCTACAGTCGGTTGTGGAGGGGAAGCCGTGCTGGCTGGAAGGCAGGGCTGCGGTTACATTGCCGCCACACTCGGAAAGCACAAAGAGGTGACCGGTGGTCCTTGGCTCCCTTTCTCCTTTTTATTCAGCCCAGACCCCAGCCTTGAGGGGGTGCCACCACATAACCCGGGACGTTCCTCACAGACACGCACAGAGACTTGTCTTCTCAGGGATTCTAGATCGTGTCAAACTGGCAATCAATATTAATCATCACAGCTGGGATTTCCTGAACCAAGTAGCTCCGGGCTCTGGATTGTGAAGCAGAAACCATACCTAGTGATCAAAAATCAGGCTCCTTTTAGCCCATCAGAGGCTTGAGGTAAAATTACCGACTAAGAATAGATCAACGCCTTTTGTTAGGCATGTCAGTGACTCGAGCTCTGATGCGAGGGCTGAGGTGAGGATGGGTGAGGTGAGGGGGGCCGCAGTTAGCGCAGTTAGCGGCTTGATGCGCGGCATGCCACAGAGGATAGCTGGAAAGGGACCAACAAACACGACAAAGGACACAAAACTCGGGTCCCAGGCTCAGAGGGCGTGCCAGCCCGATCAGTCCTGACCCCCTGACACGTGACTTCAGGTGACAGCGGTCTCTCCAGTCTTCCACTGAGTTTCACGTCTCTCTTGCTGCCAGTGACCCTGTCCTGACTCTAGAGTTCCACCGAGACCCCACTCTGAATCTGTTTGTCCCCTGAGGACAGAGGGCGCCATCGTCTCTGCATCACAGACAATAGCGATGAGCTGTGTCACCCAGCTTCTTTCACAGAGGAGAACT